TATTATAATATTAATTAATATTAATAATATACAAGAATATTTATATAATTAACTTATTGCAAATTATAGTCCACAAAGTTTGATTGCACAGTCACAGTCAGGTACTGGAAAAACTGCAGCATTTGTTTTGGCTATGTTGAGTAGAGTTGATCCGGAATTTCAGTATCCACAGGTAATTAGACTAGAATATTTTACAAACGTTGTATTTAGTTATTTAATTCTTTCTACATTTCCATGTAGGTAGTTTGTTTGTCCCCCACGTATGAATTAGCTCTTCAAACGGGAGAAGTTGCAGCAATAATGTCTACCTACTGTCCAAATGTTTATATAAGGTTTGCTGTTAGTGGTGAATGTGGTTTGTATTTTTGTATATATTTTCTTAATTGTTAAGACAGTACTACATATATTATTTATTTTCAGTTGAAAGAGGTTCCAAAATAAAGGAACAAATAATTGTGGGTACACCTGCAACGGTTTTGGATTGGGCGACTAAGTTCAAATATTTTGACCCAAAACATATTAAAGTGTTTGTGTTGGACGAAGCTGATATTATGATCATGGGTCATCAAAATCGATGTTTCCACATTAGAAAGTAAAACATCTAACCTCTTCTAACCAACATTTTTATTTAAATTGAAAAATTTTCATTTCATTTAAAGGTTACTACCAGAAACATGTCAAATGATTTTTTTTTCATCCACATATTCAGAAGATGCCATGATGTTCGCCAATGCTATTGCGCCTATGTCTGTAATCCTAAGATTAAAACGCGAAGAAGAAACATTGGGTAATATCAGACAATACTACGTTAACTGCAACAACAAAGAAGATAAATACGATATATTAATGAATATTTGTGGAGCAGTGACTATTGGACAAGCTTTGATTTTTTGTCAGGTGATTAAAGCAAAATATTAATATGAGTTTATAACCAGCGGTGAAAACAAAAAAAAAAATATATATATAAACTTTTAACTAGTAAGTAAGGGCGTAAAATCATAAACGTCTTACTGAAATGTTGTCTGTAACGTAGCCAATAACTAATAAATAATAATGTATAGGTACCTAGGTAGGTTGAATTTGTTTTTGGAAAAGTATGTTGTATGAACTACTTGTATAGAAGAATTAGTATTAATTTTCAAACCTTAGCTGTACAAAATGGTAATAAATGAAAAGGATTGTATGCAACATTTTTTATATCTTTTATTTAAAATTGGACATCACAATTGCATATCTTCTAAGTTGAAAGTAGAAAATTGACAGTTTTAGTTATACAATTACAAATAGAAAATTTTTTTCTCCCAATCATATATGTCTTAAATTAAACATAAATGAGTAGCAATTCAAATGTATTTTTAGTTTAGGATTATTGATTATAAATTATAATAAATTATTTTGTTATACTTAAGACAAAAAACTAAAGCTAATCTCACATAACAAATCTGTTCGAGGCTATGTTTTACCATAAAGTATATATACTTTATACTTGGTTTTTCTAATGAAATGTGATTTATTATTCTTAATGAAAATCAATAAGTTCTTCTTTAATCAATATTATCGAGGAATATCAGGATAGTTGTGTTGGCCGTAAATAGCATGATATAACTATGTTATATTTATTAATAATAAATAACTATCTAAATATGGATTCATTGATATTAAATTTGTCACAGGTTTTTGAAAGTAACACTGGCCATAAGAAATATAATCATTCTATATAAATAATGTGCCTATGCATTCATATTGTTAGTAATAAATATTACAGCCTGACAGTGAATTTTTTGTAATATTTGTTTATATTATTTAAATATTTAATAATATTTTGTTTTTATGTTAGACAAAAAAAATGGCTTCATGGTTAGTTAATCAAATGGTAGAACAAGGACATGCTGTTGCTTTGTTATCCAGTAAACTCACAGTCCAACGAAGAATATCTGTCTTGGACCGTTTCCGCGAAGGAGAAGAAAAACTTCTAGTTACAACAAGCACATTGTCTAGAGGTAATAAGCATAATTATTTTGTACTTTATTCATTTTAAACTTCTATTTTATTATTTTAGGCATTGATGTTGGGCAAGTCACGATTGTTATTAATTTTGATTTGCCAATAACAGTCTCTCACGAACCTGATTATGATACATATATACATAGAATAGGACGAACTGGTCGTTTTGGTAAAAAAGGTATTGCTATTAACCTTGTAAGTGATAGTTCGGACCATTCTGTACTGAAGAAAATCGAAGAACATTTTGGTAAACCTATTGAATGTTTGAATACAGACAATGCAGACGACATAGAATGATTGGAAGAAGATGATTGATTTTTAATAATTATATGTAATATTTTTTCTTTAAGGGGACCTAACACTGACGTTTGTTGTTTCTGTCTTACAAGTGCGTAAAATACCAAATTTATGACCAGCAGATAACGTGTAGATTTGTTAATTTAAAAATTAGAGTGAATCGAACTATACAAAACTTGATGGTAAGAAAATTATCTGTGTTTGTATGTGGGGTGTTTACGATAGTTTTTAGCAAGTTATGTGTATATTAATTATGATATAGCATAAATTCAAAATGTTCAAAACTCTCTTAAGAATTGAATTATCATGAAAAAAACCCACATGCAAGCACAGATATTTTTCTTACCATTAAGTTTTATAGTAGGTGGATTCACTCTAATTTTTAAACTAACAAAGCTACAAGTTATCTGCTGCGCGTAAATTTGGTACGTTAAGCCCTTCTAAGACAGATGCAACAAATTCCAATGTTACATGCTCTTAATATCTTATGTCGGGTTGTATGAACAATCACTAAACATTTAATTATTCAATACAATTTAATATACTCACCATGAGCTATTAAGTTGATTATTGATTAATTAAATGTTTAGTGATTGTTCATGCAGCTCGGCATACGAGTTGTTGTACAAATCAAGAATTATTGGGACCTATATATTAAAAAATGTATGTTAATTTGATGAATATTTGTTTTTTGCTTTGAGTAAAATTTCAATTCAATATTGTTTTTGAAACTAGTTTACAAATTAAAATTAAAATTAAAATAATTTATCATTATAAGTAAACATTTTTATACTAAATACTTCAGTAATTTTATTTTTAAACATAATTTTGATAAAATAAATAAATGCAATTATCTAACCTAACATTGAGAAAAATTTAATTAAACTCAATAAGCTTACATAGTTAATAATTCACTATTTATTAGTAGTCCAAACACTTTTTTTGTCAGTCAAGTTATAGTACCTAATCTCATACAAAAATAAAATCTATATTTTTGCAGTTATTTGAGATTTCTGTAGTTTAACCTTTTGATACATTTTCTTAAATATGTTCTACTCATTTACCGACTATATTATGTCTCATGATACAATAATTCAACAATGTTATCAGCTCATGTGTAATTAATTTTGTTTTTATACCTATTTAATATTGTATAATATGGTTTTATACAATATTTTTCCCTAAATAAAAATCAAATCTAAAAAAAATTTCACATAAATTAATATCATTGTCATCAATTTTAATCAATAGGTTTAAGTATACAAAGTCTTTGCACACTCTCTTTGCACATTTGTTGAACATGGTTAGCATAAAATTATCATTGTTTTAAAATGTAATAGGTACAGAAACATAAGTATCGTAAAAAAAATTTGCAACTCAGATTCAATTAATTTTTACATTGGGTTTAGTTTCATGGTAGTATGATACAATTAATTGTTGTAGGCAAATATGATGTTTCGGAACATCTAAAAACACTCACTCAGTAAGATTGTAACACATTATTTATTTTATGTTCATACATTTTTATGTCTCCAAGTTAACAGGGAATGTAAATGTTTAATTTGTATTCCATCCTTAGAATTTATAGTTTAATTTATTTTTGGGACTAGTACTCTAATATTTTACTGTAGTTCTGATTTTCGAATCACTTGATTGCATTTGTCATACACCTTATACTAAAATATTTTTTTAAAGTACAAGTAATTTATTTTTCTTACAAATTCCTTAGAATGAATCAAATCACATAAAATATTGATTTTTCTTTGAAATTACACAATACTTATAAGTTACATAAAATAGGCGACTGTGAGAGAAATAAACTTACAAATAACACCATATTCCTTGCATTTAATAAATTATTCATTCAAAATCATAAAAATAAAACCACCATAGAACAATTTGTCAGGGATGGTGGATGAAAAGAATTTAAAACAAGGGATATGCCTGATATGGTATTTTAAATGAAATGAAATGACTTTAATAAAATAAAATATAAATTGTATTAACAATTCAGGGTAAAATATAGTTCACTATGGTACTGCACACGCCAAACATAAAAAATTTTCAACTTACTGATCCAATTAAAAATCAAAACAATCATATTGTTAACCATCATTAGTTTACAACATTGAGATAAAATTATAAAATATTTTGACCTGTGGATATGGTCAGATTATGCCTTGTGCGTATGTATCACTTTGGTGTCCTTCCCTTCTCAAAAATCCAATGAGGTCCTCATCTCTGTTGAGTTGTTGCACATGACCCCTAAGACAATGGAAGTGTTCTCACGTTCCCTTCTTGATGCTCCATCCCTAATCCGACACTCAATCAAGAGGTTTCTCATACTTCGTTTAAGTGCAGGAAATTGTCTCCTGTGATGCCAAAACCTAAAAATACAGTGGAGTATTAAACAGAAATAAAATTGAATACTTACTTACATTAACCATTAACTCCTTTTTGTTAGGTGGTTTACACATATGGCCTGCTAAGACAATGGTAGTGTTCTCTCGTTCCCTTCTTGATGCTCCATCCCTAATCCGACACTCAATCAAGAGGTTTCTCATACTTCGTTTAAGTGCAGGAAATTGTCTCCTGTGATGCCAAAACCTAAAAATACAATAAAGAACTAAAGAGAAATACAATTGAATACAAATATCAAACTTCAATTTACCATTCTGAGAATTTGAGCTACTACCAGTTTTGTATGGATCAAATCCAAAACGCTGTTCATCTTTCGGTGACAATACCTTACAATTGACTAGGAAAAAAAATTATATTTTATATAAAGGTCACTTGGCGCACATAAGTTATTTTAGTTACTTGAGTAAAATAGAGCCAACAGCACCTTAACTGGCTTTCTGGAAATGATTGTTGAACGGCTGACATCAGAGCTTTTTCATAATCTGTAATAAAACAAATGTGTTGACAATTTAACGGTAAAATATTTCTTACAATATCAAACGGAACCACATATACTTTCTCCGTCATACTTCCCAGTAGAGCATAGACCATTGGAAAGGACTAGAAAAAAAAAATTGAGTAATGTATTAAGCAAAAATAATTTAGATTATATATAAATAATATTAATTATACAATACTTACAACACTTTTAAAAACAACCTGGATGGTAAGGAAACATTTCAAATCTGCTGGAACTCGAGGCACAGTCTTGAACGTCCCATCAATCCCAACCAATGTGCCCGTGGCAAAATCTTCTCTGTATTTGTCAAATGCATCCATGTTCGCAAAGATCACACCAACACTCCTTCCATCGACGACTAATGCTTGTTGAAAGAACCTAATAATTTTTAAAATATAATGTATGATAGTTTGATACATTTTACCTTAAAGTAATCCAACAAAATACATTATACAATTTGTAATTGTATGGTTTTAAGAAAAGTATTTACAACTACAAACACCATGGTATAATAATATTATTATTATTTTTTTGTAACTGAATTAAAATTAATTATGCAATTTGCATTGTCAGTATCTAAAAAAAAAACAATTTTGATTATATTAAAATGATCATAATAAACAATGAAGATACTTCATTTCATATTGACATAAATATTAAAGTAGTGAATAATTCTCATTAAATCATGTGTAAATCAAAGAATTGTAACCATTTCTTCTGCCATACTAAAACCTATAAAATATAAATACATCAAATGTCATAATATTATCAACATTACCCAAACAAATAGGTAGGTAATTATATCGGATAAACTATTATACATACAATCCCATACTGCAAAAACATATTTTAAAAACTCTTTAAAAACATTTTCTTACAAATTAAAAATGTTTTGAAAACGTTTCATAATGATTATGGATTTATTATGAAAATATATTAGAAAAGTTTTAAAAACATTTTTTGGCCGCTGAATTATAATTTAAAAAATATTTTCAAAAGTATATGGGAAATATTATTATCACATTCATGTAAAAATATTTTATTATTTAAATTTGCAGAATGTTTTAAAAATAATATCCAAAATGTTAATAAATTAATAATAATATAGTAACAATATTATACTTGTTTTATTTTAAGGGCATTCCATGAAAGTGTTAAAAATATTTTTATTTAAAATAATATTATAATCATTTATTGATATAATTTTTGAATATTATTTTCATCATTAACTAATGTATTTCACATTTATAATAGTTACTTTGTTTTAAACCAATACCATATATTGGAAATTCATCATTCTTTGTAATAAATATAATATTATTCAACTTTTCACTTGCTTAAATTTTGTTTTCATAAAATACATAATATATAATTAGAACAAAATAATGTATCCGAAAAATATTTTAAAAAAAACTTAATTATGAAAATACAAATTATAAACGTATTATTTTTAAAATGCAATCAAAATTAAATCGGAACCATTTCTTAAAAAAAAACTCCATACATAATATTATAGAATAAAAAAAAAAAATAGTATTCATCAGTAAGGTATTATTATGTTATAATGATACATTTATATTATTAAAATTAATTAAAAAGGCACCTTTCAATTGATAATGAGATCCAAACATATAGGACACATAGAACATCGTTCTTAGTATATTTTAAACGCTGGGTGGAGTTATGGATGTATAGATTTTAAAATGATGTGTTTCTAAAATCGTTTGCGTCTGCCATCGCCTTTTAGGGCAGTTAAAATGCTTAAATTCTCTATCTTAACATCTTTTCTTGCAGGAAAATGAACATAGTTGTATTAATACAATAATTGTTTATACGTTACATATTAAAACTAAAATATATTTTTTACTAATATAAACGATAAATAAAACTAACAACGAACGGATAAAACAAAAATATAAATCGATTTTATGTTCTGAACGGAGAGATGAATATATTGGATTTTACACTGATGTGGATTTCTTTTGTGTTTGGCAACTCTTTTTTGGTAGAAAAAATTTTATCAATTTCAACTTCAGCATCTTTTTTGGTAATGAGGTGAACCTAGTTGGTAGTTAAAGGCTCTGAGCTGAGTTAAAAGATATACGGTACAATGCAGTTTTAAAAACTACGGGGAAAAAAAATTAAGGAACAGAAATTCGTCAAATTTGAAATAATAGTAAGTATGATATGGAGAATATTGACAACTATTATACACGAGGTAATTATAAAACATAAAATATATTTGAGAAAATGTAAAAAAAAACGAGACCAAATAATATTTCGAAAGAAAACGTCTTGTATATTCTA